TATAAATTACAATTTAGAAATTGATATTTGAAAATGCCTCATAGATTTTGATGCTCTTGGTGTATTAGTCAAAAAAGAATTGCATTTTAGTATGAAGTATAATTATAAAATGTTATATTACTTTTTATTTTATTATTAATATTTTTTGTATTAAATGTTTGGGCCTCCAATTTTTCTTTTGAACAGGGCCTTTCATTTGTCAGGACCGGGCCTACGTTTACGCGACTCGAGCTATATTATTTTCTAACGCTTTTTGCAGGTTTATGAGTGAGTTATCCGACGGAATTTACTCCAACAAAAATTGATTTCATTATTCTTGAAACTGAAACAATTCATAACATTTTCCCTCTGTTTAAACTAATACAGTAATATTAGGGTTGGACTCGGGCCGGGTCGGACCCGGGCCGGCGGTTCTATATAGCTGGACCCGGGACCGGCCCGGGTAGCCACCGGGTCCGGGTCTGGCCGGGCCTCAGGTTTGGTTATTTTTTTTTTTTGCTTAGCTACCCATCCCTGACCCCCCCCTCGCCCCCACCCCCCAAACCTCTCCTAAACATCAAGCCCAACCCGGTGGAGCCCAAACAAATGAAAAAAACCAAAAAAAAATAAATTTGGCCCGAACCGGGCCTTGTTATGGGTGACCCGAGCCCGGACCGGAAACCCACCGGGTCGGGCCTACCCGGACCGGTCACTGACCGGACCACCGGTTCGGACCGGGCCGGAACAGTACCGGTCCCGGGCCGGTTCCGGGTCGGGCCACCCGGCCCGAGTCCAACCCTACTAATACTACGTATAATTCCTTGAATAGGTTTCATGTATTGGATTTTGAGGGCTGTATGGGTAATCTACAATTGTCTCTGCCGGTCTGCCCCATGTTTTGCGGCAGACCCATAAATTAGATGGGTTCAAGGCTAGCTTTGACCCATATGTTTCACATGTATCCCAAAAAAAAGATGACACCTCATCCCTGAGGCTCCCAACCCTGACCGGATGGTACGTTGGGAGGATGTAAATTGGACTATAATCCTAATCTGATAGATAGAGAGTGGGGTTCTGTCCCCGGTACTTGCAGAGGCCTTATGCATTTTTAGCATAGTAACCCTTCATCGCAGTTGTCGGGATTCAAACCCGGGAGCTAACCCTTGTGGCACTCCTTGCTACCAGTTGAGCTACGCCCACCGGTTGTTTTCACATATATGCCCAGGTTTTACATGGTGGAACCCAGGCATAGCTAGCTAATAGCTATTTATATGGCAAAGGTAAGTGTGAAATGGGTAGGTAAATTTGATGAACATATCGGCTAGCTTAGGCTGTAATAATTTGTATGGAGTTTATCTTACGGGCTAGCCGGCTAGCTAAGCATTTAAAGGTTCTTGACCGGCTTATGTATTAATATTAATTTAAAAAATTAAGTATTGTGGACTATGTGATTGAGATTTCAAAGAATAAAAAATAACAAATGAGATTATTAAATCTTATTTGATAATATAGATTTAGTATCAAATGAGAAACATGCTTAACGTGAGAACTCCACTTTTAAGCAAATGTGATGCACAATAGCGTGTGTACGTTGCACACTTTCATGTTGACGAAATATTTATGAATCTATCACCACATTTATTTGATGTTGACTGTTGACATGTTTGGAACAAAGTTTATAAAATGTAATAGGTGAGCCACATAGTGTATCAAATTGTGCTAAAAGTGCATGGTTCTCACGTCCTCACATTAGCTAATTAATTAATTAATTTAACTTAATGCGTCACTACGATTAAACCTACGTTTAAATAACTAATTTTTCACTAAATTAAATGAAATTGACATAATTCGTTACTTAATTAATAATCTCTCTAATTTAACAGTTTATTACACTTAAAATGAACCAACTAATTCATATAAAAAAAATACGTAATTCAAATTACATACCTTATCTGCATAAACAGGGAAAATGATATAAGATGGCTAAATTACATCCTTCAATTCTATCTGGAAATCCTGGAATAGCTTGTGTGGTTCTGTTGAATGAATCTGGTGCTGCATATATAAAACATTTAGTCACGGACATCCGTGACTACATAATTTTGTACGATTTATCAGTACACTTTAACCTTGGAGCGTTGGAAAAATTAATTTTGGATCTTGTCACGGAATTAGTCACAGAATTATCCGTGACTAAGTTTAGTCACAGAATTAGTCATGGATACGTCCGTGACTAATTTCAAATTTAAAAAAAAACCGTCGGAGGCAAAATTGGGTTGGCCGGAATAGGTTAGTCACGGATATAATCCGTGACTAACCGTAGTCACGGAACCGTAGTCACGGACGTAGTCACGGTTATATCCGTGACTATTTTTTTTAAAACAATCCGTGACTAGCCCGTAACTAGAACCGTGACTAACTAATCACAGACCAAATCCGTGACTAGCGTCCGTGACTACATGCGATTTTTTTTGTAGTGCCTATAATATACACAAACATATAATTTTTCTATTTTATTAAAATAACAAAAATACAAATAATATCAATCAAAATAATACCATGCAGTATGTGGATTTTAATTATTTGATGTAGGCATATAAATAAAATTACTACTTATGAATCTTAATATCCAAATTTTACATTATTCAAAGGTGTTTTCAAAAATTGGACTCGTGCCATAAAAGTATTAGGATCGGCCATGCGTGGCAGGCGGTGATCACTGGCCGGTGAGGCGGTGATGGTCCAGCTGTCACCATGGCCGGCGGTAGTCACCTAGTTACTTTTTTGGAATTTTTTTAGATGATGTGCCATTTTTATATATCCACTTCATTTCTTTTAGTATTACTTTTGGATCGGAAAATCCCTTTTCATGATAAAAGGCTTGTAATAAAATATTGAAAAATATTGTGTCTATTGTATTTATGTTTTAATCTTATTTGAGAAATTTTCTCTAATATGGAGTAATAATTATCATCACAATAATAAGAATACATAATATAATTGGAGTAACAATATATTGGACTATTGAAACGGTTGATATATTCATATTCAAATTATCTAATTCTATGATAGAGCTACAAACTCCTAAAATTATTGTTATCGGTTTTGTTAGAAAAGTACTACTCCGTAACAAGAATAACTTCATCCCACCAGTTGAGGGTTATATATTCCACCAAGAAATAGTATGGTGTCAGACACATCTTCTTTGATGACAAACATGAAGGGATGGTCCGCTATAAAGTTGATTGGCGGTGGCGGTGGCGGTGGTGAATCGTCCAAGCAAAAGCCACACTCCTCGTCTGAATCATCGGTAATACTCAACACTTTCGTACCGGCCTCATCGCATTCCATCCAGCTACGCGGTGGTTGGACGTGACACCACATTTAATGCAGTGATTCAGAGCATGTGGAGAGGAGATCCTGTCGAGGAGAGTGCCCTCGGCTACATGCACCCGGGGGCTTCATGTGCCGAATGCCATGTTGCCATGTACGAGCCGAAGGCTGCCTGTGCCGAAGGTCGTTCGTACCCAGGGGCCATTTGGGCCTTGGTGGCGTGCTGGGGACGTACGTCCCTTGGACTAGGGGAAAAGCGTCTCTAGTTGCCCTAAGTTCTTGGAGACGTCTGTATTGCCTTTAGCCGACGCTCCTGACGTGACGATGGCTTCCTTGACATGGTTTCCCGCCAATGGGTGTCGACGATCGTCCCCAGGCATTGGCTGCCTGGTGTCTCGTGATGTGCTGGAGGACGTACGTAGCTGGGGAGGACCTCATGTACTAAAGGACGTACATCCCCTGGGGCCGTACGTAGCTGGGGAGGACTTCATGTGTAGGAGGACGTACGTCCCCTGGGGCCGTACGTAGCTGGGGAGGACTTCATGTGCAGGAGGACGTACATCCCCTGGGGCCGTACGTAGCTGGGGAGGACTGTCATGTGTTAGAGGCCGTACGTAGCTGGAGCTCTTCATGTATTAGAGGCCGTACATACCCAGAGCCCTTCATGTGTTAGAGGCCGTACGTACCCAAGGCTCTTCATGTGTTTAAAGGCTGTACGTCCCCTACACATTGTTGTAGTGTGGGCTGTCCGGAGTCTTGTTTGCTGTAATTGGGCCACTTGGGCCTGTTGGGCCTATTCGTAGTAGTGGAAGTATGTGGTACGGAGGTTCCTGAGCCATATACTCCATCATATATTAACTCATAATATATTAATTGTGGCATGGCTATCAGCTAATTTATGGGTCGATGTACGTTGTGGTTACTGCTACATATATTATCAATCATTTACACTCTCCTACTTTAGGTGATGTATTTTCCTATGAAAAATTATTTAATTTCTGTGATTTAGCGTTTGTAGCGTAAATAGAGCATTTTTAGTGTAAATACAATATGTGATTTGAAATTTGGTTCATCAAGTAATCTTCCCGTAATATTTTGAAATTGACGCCTGAATACGAGTTTTAGAAATCGATATGATCTTTCCAACGATATTGAAAACGTTTTAAACGGAACTAAATACAACAAGGTATGATCAAATCAATTTCTAGTGAAATCGGAAATGATTGTGAATTTCAGGTTAACCTATACCTTATACTTAGTGCATTATAAATTGAGTCGGAACAATAGCTTTAGAACTCAAAATGATCTTTCCAACGAGATATAATACGCTACAAACGGAAGAGCATACAGCAAGATGTGACTGTCCAAATACTAAGCTTAAACTATGTGATTTAGCGTTTCCAGCGTAAATAGAGCATTTTTAGCCTAAATACAGTGTGAGATTTGAAATTCGGTTCATTAGATAGTCTTCGCGTAATACTTTGAAACCGACGCCTGAAGACGAGTTATAGAAATCGATATGATCTTTCCAACGAGATTGAAAACGCTTTAAACGGAACTAAATACAACAAGATTGGATCAGATCAATTTCTACACGTGTTCAGAGTGAAATCGGAAATGTTTGTGGATTTCAGGTTAATTTGTACCTTATACTTAATGCATTGTAAATTGAGTCGAAACAATAGCTTCAAAACTCAAAATGATCTTTCCAACGAGATATAATGCGTTTGAAACAGATAACATACAACAAGATATGAGTGTTCAAATACTAAGTCTAAACTATGTGATTTAACGTTTCCAGCGTAAATAGAGCATTTTTGGCGTAAATATATGTAGTCTGGGATATGAAATTTGGTTCATTAGGTAGTCCTCGTTGACCGTCCTTTTTGTGCGTGTTTGGATGTGTTTGTTTTCCTAATTTTATTGCTTCCTCATCCAATAAGCTTGTTCTTATTTCTGTATATGTGTTATATTGACCGTTCAATATATATGTTTTTTCAAAATATGCTCTGATCCTAACTATAAGGGTTAAAAAATACAAGCGACTCAAAAAGGTTCGATGTATTTTTGGCTGGTGATGTGTAAAATTGATTAATAATGCTGAAATAGGGAAGCATCATATATCTGACCATACACTTCAATTTTCCCAATGCTGCAGAGACAATGCTTCATATACTTCGAGATTGTCCATCTGTGTCATTAGTTTTGAGGAAAGGTGCCTTGAGGTTACTAGATAAGGAGACAATTATTCAAGTAGTAGCGAATTGATCTGTAGTCACTGTCATAAATAACGATTCTATGCATTATAACTTCCAGCTAGGTAGCTAACTGTGATCAGAACAGGCTTCCACTCTTTCGATAACTAACCCATGAGGTGCATCTGAAGGTGGAACAATATGGGATGTCTTATATCTTTATATTTGTGAGACACTATATGAGGCACCCAATGGAATTTGTGATCTCTGCTGCAAAAACCACTAGAAACAAAGCAGGTGAAGGGTAAATAGCACAAAACCCACAAAAGATTATCACCCAATGATACCCATAATAAATGGCATAAACGCAACCTCTTGTCACTTTTTTCAGTAATGTGGGAATTTTAGCCCCCGAACCCCATTTTTTACATCGGAATTACAACTAGTTAAAAGCTGTTACAGAAAATGATTCATCACATTTCCTTAGTATCAGGATCAGCATAAAGTGCTTTAACTGCCTCAATATCATCATAACTTCCAAGAAATAATGGAGAACGGTCATGTATGTTCTTCGGAACCAAGTCAAGAGCCTGCAGATGAATGAGTTCATCAAAACACTGCCCAAAAGGTCAATATTCACAAGAAGATGACTATTTCACTCTAACAAATACATAGAGCAGTTTGAAAGCCACAAGTTCAGTGGTGGTATACCCTTTGTTTGCCTGTAAATGCTTGGCCTCCTGCCTGCTCTATTAAAAAAGACATTGGGAAGACTTCATATAGAACCCTGTCATGTGGTGCACCATTTACATAATCATTGACTCCACATTATCAACAAGTTATCAGTCAAAAATGTTTTTTAGCCAGGTGTCCTTTGTACTCACCGGAGTTTCCCATTGGGAATTTTCTTATCACCAGGGTACATGAATATGCCACCATACAGTAATGTGCGATGGACATCGGCAACCATGCTTCATAACAGAAACCAAGAGAAGCAAGAAAATGGCATTATTTTCAAAACAATTTATGCTGATTGTGATACAGTCTACTGGGTGCCACAAAGTCTAGACAAGCCAACATATTCAGAAATATATATGGTCTAGCCTATGCTATATAAATTAAGGTCCTGTTTGGCTGCCTGCTTTGGCCTATCAGTAGCACACATAGCATTGACTTTTTATTTGGTTGATATGTTTACCAACAATTTTCTTACAAAAAATCAACTGATGAAGTCATTTCTTTTACCAAAGTACCAAACACGCCCTATTTTGACTTTTAGTGTTCATCAATAGCAGATTTTTCATTTGCAAGAATACAGGAATGCCTTTTTAAAGCAAATGGGTTTGATTGACAGTCAGATGACTCAGATCATATGCTACAAGTACTTTGAGCAAAATATTTTGGAGTTCAAATACCTTCCAATGTATCGTAGAGACTTTGGTGATGAACCATCACTTGGGAACTTGCAGTTTTCAACATATCTGCCATTTAACAAATGTCAAGACTTAAATATAACGTAACAAAAACAAATGTGTTTAATAAAACCATAGAATTCCAACGTACTTTGCAGTGGGACCATCCCAGTTTTTAGTATTTCCTTCATTTACAGAATAGATCTTTCCTTTCTTTGGGATCTGTACTAAAGCAAAAACTTAGTAGCCCAGACAAATAAATACAGAGCAATAAAACATGTACCGGTAACAGTACTGAAGGATAAATAAGAATAAATGTAGTTACATGTATACCTTAATATCTGGATGAGTTAGTATGAATTCTCCTAATGATGGGTCAAGGGTAAAACCATTGACTCCAGATCCTGTGCTCAAGACAAACTGCAAGTTGAATCACTGATTGAGCATCAAGGCAAGTATTATCAGTAGAATGTGAGAGTAAAGATTACCAGGTAGATACATATGTGCTGAATTCGTCAACAGTGAGTGAATTGGAAGCTAAATGAGAAAATATTTTACTGTGTGAAAATGTACTTAGCAGATCTAAAAATATCACTTACTGTGCAGGAGCTTCCATACATGCAGTAGCCAGCAGCTATCATATTTTTCCCAGGTTGCAATACATCATTTAATTCTGGCTCATGACCATCTCTGATCATATAAATTCCAAAGATCTAGACATTATCAAAAGAAGAAATAAGGGAAAATTCCAGAAATAGGAGTAAAAAAGTTTGAAAATTCCAAAATAGGACTGCCATGTTTTTATTCCCAAAATAGGAGTAATTACTGCCAAATTTGGAAAATACTGACATGTTTAAATTCTTGTACTGCCAAAACATGGCAGTGATTAGTCCTATTTTGGGAATAAAAATACGATAGTTCTATTTTGGAATATACAAATAGTTTTAATCTTATTTTGGGTAATTTCTCAAGAAATAATTAAACCTATAGCGTTTAAAAATTAGAAATACTGGTTTAGTAACACTTGAGCAAGGAATCATACAGTTCCAATCGACACGCCACAGTCGATGTTGGATGATCCATCCAATGGATCAAAAACAACACAATACCTGCACTTTCCATCAGATACAACATATTTCATATGATAAACATTCAGAAGGTGTCCAAAAGAGTTGGGAGATACAGTACACACTTTCCCTGCAATGGTGGCTTCACAAAGGTTGCTTCTTCATCTTCCTCAGACACAAGAATGCACTAAAAAGGAAACATTTCAAAGTTGTTCTAACAGGGAAAATGAACAAATAGTGATAAATATTTTGTTCAGAAACTTACTGTTCGGCCACTGCTAACCAAGGCTTTGATAAACACTTGATTGGAGAGCACATCCAGTTTCTTTTGTTCTTCACCCTGTATTAAAATGTAAACCAGTTCAGAAACAATGGAATAAAGTAATACAAAAATAACCAAAAAAGGAAATAGTGGATGAATAGCATGAAAGATGATCTCTATCAACTCGCCTGTACATTAGTCTCCCCAGCTAGGCCTATGAGTTTCGCCAAACCCGCCTGCAGAAATCCACACAAGTACTATTAGACACTTTTGAGTAGATATTATAGAAACAGGGGATTTGCTTATTTGCTCCCATAATCCATCATTTAGTCCTATAACTTTATCTGCTTACAGTTCTAGGTGCTAGAACAAATAAGATTGTCCACATTGAGGATTGTTTCATAGAAATGTAACATTTCCTTCAACAATCCTACCAAAAACCCCGCTGACCTGTTCTTGAAAACGAACATTGTTTAATTTTCAATAACTGAAACACTTGTCTTTTTTAGTTTGAGATTTGCCAAGTTAACTACATTCCAAATCCAAATCTATTTCACTCCACGCTAAAAACCTGCAAACCCTGCTAAATATCAGAAAAGAGAGAAGAACAAAAGTATAGGCGTATAGCCATTTTCAAATTAAAGACCAATAGCTAAGAGTTAAGACTACAGACTGAAGAGCACAGGTCATAACTCATAAACCAACATTAATGGAGTGGGATGAGTGGCGGGAGCCAAAGAAAGTGAAAAAAGAAGACCTTGTTGACGGCAGAGCAGACGAATTTGCAGCCGAGGAGAATGTGGCTGAGGAGGATGGTGAAGTCGCCGCGAGAACCCGGGTGCTTGGACTGCTCGTTGAGGACGAACCTGGTTATGGTCATCAAGTCCGTCCGGTGAGCTTCTGCAGCGTGGTCCATCTTTCTCTGCAACCAGGCCAGAATTGATGGGATGGGAGGATTAATTCGTATGGTTATTATTATCATTATCATAAGTGGCCGGACAGGATGGGCTATCATATCCGTGTGGGGAAGGCGGGAGGACACGTGGATGAAGGCCGTGATCCATTGCAACAGAGTAGAAGATTGTTTACTCTCCAGCTTTGTCTTTGCTCGCCATCTTATCTTCTTCATTGTCAAATCCAAGCTGGACCCGATATCAGCATTTTGTTTATTGTTAAAATAAAACACGAAATTGTCGAAGGGGTGTTTGGTTAGGATTTAGGAAAGTCCATCAACCAATTTTGGCTGATTTGACCATATTCATTCTTGGGTGTGTTTCGAAAAACAAAAAAAATAATTAATAAAAATTAATTAATTAAATGATTAAAGAAAACAAAAAATAGATGAGACAGAGATTAGTCAGAGTTCGTGCTACGCACGATGTCCTTAAAACGTATTCGTCGCCTCCCATGAAGCTAGGAGCGTTGCAACGACCGCTTCCCAGGATACGGTGGCTAACGAACGAACATTTGAGCACACAAACGAAAGTTCCGGCGAACGTGAACAAAGGTAGAACACCAAGGAAATTTTCGGAGTAGCTGGAAGTGTTTTTAGAACAAAAACTACGTGGAGATGCTTGTGAACGTGTATGAACGTGTGTTTGTTGCAAAGCACCTGTCAACTATTTATAGGAGGATTTGTGGTGTGTTAATCGAGCTTTAATGGACCTAAACGTTGCACATAAATGTCCAGCACGTTGGGCATTAATATGTCGAAAACTGTCCATTTAAAGATGCATTAAAAGGCTATAACGGCTTGGAGCAGTTCTGATGTGCGACCAGAATACCCCCACCCGAACACCCTACGAGGTCTTCTGGTCCCGAAGCCAACAGATACCCTCTCGGGATCTTCTGGTCCAAGCAGAAGAGGAGCAGTTCTGCCCGTCTGGAAAAATTAAAGAATGTTACAGGAAGAAACAAAATTAAATTGTATCTTTGAATGATAGTTTTTCGGACGACATCCGTGTCCGCAGGTCCCCCGCGCACACGAGTCGCGGTTTTTCTTCTCCATTTTCAAGATTTGATCGACACCCCCCCCCGCGCACTAAGAGAGCCTTTCCACGTAGGAATCTTAACTCTTTCAAAGAGGGTTCCCTTTATAAGGGTGTGCAAATCCCTTGGGTTTTCCGGTGTGAGATAAAACACACCAGAAACCATCATTTTCCTAGTTTTCACCATTTCAACGAGTGAACTTCGAGAATCAATTTCTCATTCACCCGTTATCTGTTTTTAGTGTACCATATATCGAATTGTAGCCCTTAGCAAGGACAATCCGAAACCACTTTGACCCGACCCAAATCGAAAGTGGACCACACTCAAAATATTGCCCCAAAATGACCATTTACTGCAATTTATTAACACATTTTCCAACATTCACCACATCAATCAGCTAGTAAGAATATTTGGTTAAATACCTTTTCAATTAGTCTTTTGTTCCAAATAGCCAAAATGTAAAACGTCGTTCACCCCCGACTTTTAGAATTAGGCGTTGTGTATCTTTTCTTTACTACCCATGTCTTTTCTGTATCCCCTCCTCACAAAACATTTCCTCCTAAGAACAAAAATAAAATTCAGCCCACCTAGATCTTCTTCCACTATAATTAGCTATCTCATTTTGTTCCTTATAAGTTTTTTCCAATATACTACTTCACCTCAATTTCTTTTTGTGCTTTGGATATTTGTCTCTAGAGGGATTTCAAGTGGGTTACTTCCTCTCTATCTTGTTTCTCAGCCAACGATCATCTCATAAAAATGTCATTTTCATCTCGAGAGGAATGAATTATTATTAATTAAAGAAATGGGGTTTCAACTCGGGTTGTCTGCTCCTTCGTGGAATCTCATAAAAATGTCATTTTCATCTCATAAAAAAGTATGGGGAATGGATTAAGAATTAAAAAAAGGTAGAGATTTAAATTTATTATTATTTGTGGGCTCAAGAAGAAGAAGCATGGTGATGGGCAACTCAATTACATTCAACCCAAGTATGTCCGAGAGTCACCCCTTTCCAAAATATCTTCTAACATATAACTTTTTTTACACATTAGAGAATAAATTAATCAAAATGTGCCAAATTCTCTTATGTTATATTTACTTTGTCTCATAACATTTTTCATGACTTGACTTAGGTTATAGTTTAAGAAAGTTATAATAAAGTGGAAAAGTATAATTGTGGTCGAGTGTTAAAAGGGTAAATGAATGTTAATTAGATAAAACTTTCCAATAAAACAAATGAGAACATTTTTTTAGAACATCCTAAAAAGGTAACTGAGATTCTTTATGGGAGGGAGCGGACATGTAGTATTAGTCATGCACTTAACACTTTAAAACAATAAACTTAACAATTGAAAATTATTTGTCTTGATTTTATGATGGAATTTGCAAGTAATTTATTCAGATTTCTAAATTATGCAAAAGTATAATCACTTTTCATGTGATAATTAAGTTTGTTCTTTTGGAGAGGTATGACCGTATGAGCTTCATTAGTTATGACAATGGGAGTTTTGATGCATTTCTTCAAATCATAAAATGCTTGCATAGTTTATATAACGCGCGGAAAATTGAGACATTAAACCCTATCTAAATCAAATCAGTAAATTTGACCGTAAGTTAAAGAGATTTTAGGCAAAATAATTCACTAAGATTTTTTATGAAATGTTTAATTTATGTGGTTTGTAATATCCGGACTGCATAACTGGACCTCATAAAGGCTTTGCCGTTCACGTAGGGTTTCTTTCCACCATTTGTTTGTGTGTCTCTTCTTCTCTATGCTTCTAGAGTGCTTTTTAAGGAGGCGTGAATGCAGCTGCAGCTGCAGCTTTTGGAAACGAATTCAAGGTTCAAGAAACAATAATCATGTCTCCTATGGATAATCTAGAGCAGTGTTGTTTCATTCCAGCAATTGAGGAGGGGGTCGAAGGGTTAGTTTCAGGCGAATCAACATGGGTAGAGGGCGGTGATGGCAGTGGAGGCAGAACGGGTGACGAAAAGATGGGGAGAGGTGAAGGGCTAAGCAAGGAAAAAGATATATCGGCGGTCCGTCCCCCTCCCAAATCGCCGCCTTGGAGCGATCGAAGTGCTAGGGTTTGAAAAATTCATCGGTTACTACGGTATTTAATTTTTTATGGTTTTATTTTCGCGTTATGTTTTATGTTGCTCTATTTTTTGTTGATGTCTTTAGTTTGGGTCTGCAATTATGATTGAAAATTTTGTTAAATATTACTCCCTCCGTCCCGCTAACAATGGGACAAGAGAGAGTGACACGCAAATTAATAAAAAGTGGTTTATGTGATTGATATTGAATTGATAAAGTAAGAATAAAGTAAGAATGATTTAGAACCACACAAACTTTACCAAATTTGGTATGAGATAATCTTAGTGGGACAGACCGATAAGGTAAAATGGGACAATCATAGCGGGACGGAGGTAGTATGTCGTTAGAAAGATATATATGACTAGTGATTGCTGAGTCACACCTGCTTGATGGTTAGCGATTCATATTGCTCTTTAAGGCGTGATCAACTCTCAGTCTAGCCATATGGTTGATAATGCCAGTTGGTTAGCGATAGTTGTTTTCAGGGTTGATCTTTTTGAGTTTGTTGTAACGATCTGATTCATAATAATATTAATATAAGCGATTTGTTTTGACGATAAAAAAAACTAGAACCCATACGGTGCACACAATTTAGCAAAACTTTAAAATTAGGGATGAGAAATAGGAGTAATGGCACAAACCAAGGGAGTGGGAGTTTTATCAAGAGTTTTTGTCTTCCAAAATAACAAAATCTAATACTCCCTCCGTCCCGAATAGTAAGACACTTTACGGCTTACGATGATTGATCGATGATAAAGTAAATGGACCCCTGTCCGCACTCAAATGATTTTTAGAAAAAAAATTACATATTCAGAAACTACATTTAAAGCTTTACAATGTTGCAAAAAACAGAATCAAAATTGATATAAATTTGATATATAAAGTAAGAGATTAAAAGTGATTTGTGTTGACCAAGTGAATAAGAAACAATCTTACAAAATGGGACTGAGGGAGTACCAAACAAAAAAGCCTATATGGATCGATGTTATAGAATCGGATCAGAATGGGCGAGATGGCCCGAAACGCGACTCCAAATCCGATCCAAATTACTTATAAACCGCTAAATTAATAGTGACTTGCTTAGACCTGGAAGGGAATTGGAATTTTGGCAAAATACTACCTCCGTCCCGCTATGATTGTCCTGTTTTACCTTATTTGTCTGTCCCACTAAGATTGTCTCATACCAAATCTGACAAAATTTGTATTACTCTAAGTTAGAATTTTACCATTAATGATAACGTGTGTTGAGTCTAAAGACCACTTGCATGTAGGACTCAACAAACCTATCACTTTCACGTAAAACAAATAAATTAAGAGAGATTTCCCTAAATGGGAGTAAAACAATGGGAAAATGCAAAACTAGGACTATCATGTTTTTAGGACCTTTTTAGGACTAAAATATACTGGCTTGACAAAATTAACCGTTCATATAAAACTCCAGTTTCCGTAGGAAGCCGCTGAACCATCCGGATAGTCTCTTGCCGACCTCGACCGTCAAGCTCTCCATAGTAGGTAATTAATTCATATCTCTTCTTCTTCTTCTTCTTCTTCTTCTTCTTCTTTTCTTCTTTTCTTCTTCTTGTTCCTCCTTTTCTCATCTTCTTCCAGGTCTCCTGAATTTTAATTTTTTCAATTTCCTTCTTATCTCTTCTTCTTCTTCCTCTTCTTCTTTTCTACCTTTTATCATCTTCTTCTAGGTCCTCTGTATTTTAATATATTTCTGGATTTAAATTTTAATTTATTTAGCAATTTTGAATCTCAGAATGCAGATTCCCAGAAAATGTCACTCTTTGAATATGAGAATGTCAAACTTATTGGTTATTTGAAAAAATGTCACTTTTATGGCAGTATGCTTATAAAGATGGCAATCTTAGTTTGACATAAAATGACATTTTCGTATAAAAGATGACATTTTCTACTGTAAAAAGATGACATTTTCACATAAAAGATGTCATTTTCTACTGTAAAAAGATGACATTTTCACATTGATAGTTGTGACACTTTCATAGGAAATTATGCAATTATCCTATAAAAAGATGACATAAAAGTGGCATTCTCATATCCAAAAAGTGAAATT